GCCTGTAGACCCTGCTATTGCCAAGCTACTGGAGGAGTTTAAAGATCTAGCTGAACCGCCGATAGAAGTAGTTCCGCGGCCCATCCAGCATCGAATCGAGATAGAGCCTGGCAGTAGAACGCCCAAGGGAGCCGTGTATAGGATGTCTCCGAGGGAGTTAGAGGAACTGTGCAAGCAATTAGACGAGCTCCTCGAGAAGGGTTGGATTAGGCCCAGTTCGTCTCCATTTGGAGCACCTGTCCTATTTGTCCCCAAAAAGGTGGGAGAGCTTAGAATGTGCATAGATTATAGGGGTCTGAATGCGATCACCGTTAAGAATGTTGAACCACTGCCCAGGATAGACGATCTTTTAGATCGAGTGCAGGGGTGCAGATATTTTACGAAGATAGATTTAAAGTCCGGATATCATCAGATAGAGGTTCATCCTGATGATTAGTACAAGACAACTTTCCGGACTAGATACGGGCACTACGAGTTCATCGTGATGCCCTTTGGACTAACCAATGCGCCAACGACTTTTTAGCGATGCATGAATGACCTGTTTAGGCCTTGGTTAGATAGATTTGTTGCAGTTTATTTGGATGATATCCTATTGTTTAGTAAGACCCTCGAAGAGCATCAGGGCCATCTCAGGCAGGTCTTGGAGAAGCTGAGAGAAGCTAACTTCAAGATCAACGCAAAGAAGTGCGAATGGGCGAAGACCCAAGTGTTGTATTTAGGCCACGTCTTAGAAGGAGACGGCATCAAGCCAGAGGATAGTAAGATTGCTGTGATCCGGGATTGGCCTACACCGCGCACGTTGACAAAGCTGCGGTCGTTCTTAGGCCTAGCAAACTACTATAGGAAGTTTGTGAGGAACTTCTCCACTATCACTGTGCCCCTTCGCAGACTGCTAAGGAAAGAGACCATATGGAAGTGGGACAAGGACTGCACGTCTGCTATGAAGAAATTGAAGCAGGCACTGATAGAGTATCCAGTCCTTAAGGTGGCCGATCCGTGCTTACCCTTTGTTGTCACTACGGACGCTAGTCAGTACGACATTGGTGCTGTTCTGCAGCAAGACGATGGCAATGGTTATAGGCCCGTAGAGTTCATGTCTGCTAGGATGCCTTCAGAGAAGGTTGCGACATCTACCTATGAGAGGGAACTCTACGCTCTCAGGCAAGCGCTAGAACACTGGAAGCACTACTTGCTTGGGAGGCACTTCAAAGTCTATTCTGACCATGAGACGTTAAGATGGTTAAAGAAGTAGGCCAAGATGACACCTAAACTTACTAGGTGGGCTGTCGAAATAGACCAGTATGATTTTGAGCTCAAGCCAGTCAAGGGGAAATATAATGTAGTTGCGGACGCTCTGAGTAGGAGAGCTGACTATTTTGGAGCGATAGTTCACTATTTGGATATAGGGAGAGACTTGTAGGAAAAGGTCAAAGAAGCTATGCGCAAGACCCTATCTATAGTGACCTCCTCAAGCGAGTAAAGGAGGCCCCAGAGACCGAGCCAGATTATCGCACTACTTATGGACTGTTATTCGAGAAGACTAACATAGTTGACCGTCTGTGCATTCCCAAGAGTATGTCCGCACCTGTAAAGTTTCGTAAAGTTTGCCAGACTCTAGCCAACCTAATGCACGCGTACACCTGGCCAGGAATGAAGAATGACTGCATAGAGTATGTCCGCAGCTGTAAAGTTTGCCAACAAAATAAGACTACTACGCGTGCTCCGCTAGGTCTTCTCAGACCCTTGCCTATTCCTGATCAGCCCGGAGATTCAGTGTCCATTGACTTCATGGACGCAGGCATCAAGAGTAGGCATGGCAAGAGCCAAGTCATGGTGATAGTCGATAGGTTCAGCAAGTATGCTGTTTTCATCCCATTGCCTTCTGATGCACGAACGGAGTTAGTGATCCGTAAGTCTTTTGATCATTGGGTCAGTGAACACGGGGTCCCATTGTCCATAGTTAGTGATAGAGACACCCAGTTCACAAGTCAGAACTGGCAGGAGTTGATGAGAGTCTATCGCTCTAAGTTGTTGATGTCGTCTGGTCGTCATCGAGAGAACAACGGTCTGACTGAACAAATGAATAAGATCCTGCAGCAAGTTCTAAGAATGTACATTAGACCAGATCAAGTTGACTGGGACGAGATGCTCCCCAAGGTAGCCAGTGCTTATAATAATAGTGTGCATCTATCTACGTGCCGCACTCCCAACGAACTGCATAAGTCCTTTAGATTGCGTAGACCATTTGAAGGACTTAACTGGGATCAGATTCATAGGCTACCGCCTGGTACTAGGGAGTTTGCTATACAGCACGAGAAGGAACTAGCTACTGTTGTAGAGAACCTCAAGAAGGCCCAGCATAGGATGATAGAGCAAGCCAACAAACATCATCGCCCCTCACAGGTCCAAGTAGGCGACTTAGTCTGGGTTAAAGCTAAAGAGTTTGCTCTTGAGGAAAACATCTCGCAAAAGTTACTGCCCGCGTATAGAGGACCGTGGCCAGTCCTAGAAGTCAAGGGCGGAGAAGATGGTCCATCCTACTCGATAGAGATTCCACTACACCTCCACACCTACCCAGTTTTCCATGCGTCAAAGTTGTTGCCATGCACGGTAAGTGACCGGTTTCCATCGAGACGTTCCATGATCCCTCCAGACATGGATGGAAGGTACGACATTGAAGGCATTGTAGGTGAAGACGTGTTTAGAACAGGAGGTCGAGGTCGTCCTCAGAAACAGTATAAAGTCAGGTTTGCATATCAGGAACCAGAAGACGACCGGTGGTTCACTAGAACTGAACTTCTAGAAACAGCTCCCGACATAGTCAAGGCCTATGAAAGGGACGAAAAAGGTAAAGGTCCTGCCTTGGACTGAAATATTCTCGAAGGACCTCGAATTCAGGCCGGCGGGAGTGAAACGGTATTCACCAGTTCGCAGTAGCTGATGCAGATCCCAGGGCTCGATCCCTAGTCCCCACCTTACCTGTGTATAGTACCTGTGTCAACCCGTAGAGTTGAACCCGCGACCTGTAGGACTGCCAGTGGTAGGTAGGTCGTTATAGGTTACATGGTATAGGGGATTCGAACTGTAGACCTGTCGGGTAGGAGTCTAGAGAGTCCAAAGGTCTTAGCTGTAGACTTTCCGAAGGGTCAAAGTCGTAGCTGCTACTTACCTGAAAGGGCAGAGTCGTAGCTGCTACAGTACCGAAAGGCCAAGTAGATGTTTCTGGAAGTGGCCTTTCGGAGTCAACCCACTGTAGGTCGAGGCAAGTGGGCAAGTGGTGGAAGTCCACCGTGCAGAGTCAGCAGTCCCAGTCCAGTCAGTCCGGTCCAGTCAAGCAAGTGCCATCTGGGACTGTGTACACCGTGGGCCAGGGAAACAGGGCAGACCAACGAGTCACAGAAGTATAAATCAAGAGGCCGCGCACAACCATTCATTCATTCCTGCGGAAGCCATGCGGAAGCACTGCCTCAGCGTCTTGTGCGAGGAGGTCTGCAGTATGCCCGAAGTCGAAGTGGTCCAGAAGAGCGTAGCATAGCGATAGCGTAGAGACAGCCATAGCTGCCATAGCTGTAGTCAGTGTGTGGGTGTTGTGTGAGTGTTCGGAGTGATGCATGTGGGATATCCAGGGTGATCCGGTGTGTGAACAGTGAGTTGTTGAGCGCTGAGTCGCCATAGCCAGTGGAAGCGAACTCTTACCTGGACACCATATCTCTGAGTTTTGTGTGGGCGCATGTCGCCAGTTTGCTGTGCTGCTGTTTACACGTATGAAAAGTGTGAACGAGACGAGTGTGATTGCACTTTGGACCATGGAAGGTTTTGGATGTAGTTGGGGATGAACCAGACGGACCCTCATATGTCATTCGGATCCCTGGACACCTTCGCACCTACCCTGTTTTTCACGCCTCTAAGCTTTGCTGAAACAAGGTGGGCGGCGGTGCTTGTTCTCAGATTCGATCATCGTCGCCTGTGCTTTGTGCATGTGTTCTACTGCCTGCTGCATATGACTCTCATATCTATAAGCGAATTCCAAAGTGCCTGGCGCAGCAGTAGGCTGGTTCTCAGGTAGCAGAAAGTCAAGGGGGAGTCTGGGTTTGAACGTTAGAAGTAGGCTGTTAGGACTTACTCCCGTGGCACTATGAACTGCGTTGTTGTACAGGCTGGCGATGAGAGCAAGCTTCTCATCCTAGTCCACTTGATTAGGCTTAATGTAGTGCCTCAGCAAGTGTTGAACAACACGGTTCATTTGCTCTGCCTGTCCATTTGCCTCTGGATGATTTCCAGATGTCATCTGCAGCTGCGTTCCTTGTTCGGCAGTTGCGGCTTTGCACAGTTCACTGGTGAATCGGACATCCCTGTCGCTGATTATAGACTTCGACAGGCCAAAGTCTCTGACCCAGTTTTCTTTGAATAGCGTGATAAAGTACTCGGTCTTTGTTGTTTCCGGCATGGCCACTAACCTAGCATACTTACTAAGTCTATCCACGATGACGTAGATGTATCTCATGCCACTCTTGCTGGTGACTAGTGTATCCATGAAGTCCATGGACAGGCTGTCACCAGGCCTTTCCGGAATGGGAAGGGGCTTGAGCAGCCTAAGAGGAGCCTGTGTTCGGGGCTTGTCACGTTGACAAACTTGACAAGTCTCGACATACAGTTTGGCATCTCGCATCATCGTAGGCCACCAGAACCACTGCAACAGATTGGCTGCAGTCTTCTTGAAACCAAAATGTCATGTGGCATCGTGACTCTCGCCTAAAAATAAACTACGCAAAGACTCTCTATTAGGAACACACAAACGTTTATTCCTGGCCTTTTCAAGGAACAGCAAGTCGTTGACCAACTCAAACTCGGCAGCAGTCACCTTGTCCTTCGCTTCAAGTCTGCGTGTGATCTCGGACATGAACTGGTCCTCGCGATAGGCTTCCACCAAAGAGCGAGTGACATCGTCCGCAAGCCCAAACTAAGTGATCAGCGCACCGGAGAAGTCTGGCCTACTCGACAACGCGTCAGCAACTTTGTTGTACTCACCTTTGAGCTACTAGGACTCGAAGTCCTAGTGCTCAATGACTTCGATCCAGCGTTTGAGCGCATCAGAGAGCACAGGCTGTGTTCTCATCCACTTCAGGGTCTGATGATTAGTCCTGACGATGAAGAACCTCCCAAGGAGATAGTGCCTCCAATGGGTTAGCGCTTTATAGATCGCGTACAGCTCCTTCTCATAGGTGGACTTAGCCAACTTCTGAGAGGGCATCTTTTTGGACATGTACTCCACTGGCCTCAACTTTGGCCTCTCCTGCTGCGCGAGCACGGCGCCTATGCCATATTGGCTAGCATCCATGGTGACTATAAACGGCTTGTCAGTATCGGGAAGCTTCAAGACCTCATGGTGTGTCAACGCATGCTTCAGATGTCTGACAGCAGCCTCACACCTGTCTGTCCACTCCCATGGGGTGTCAAGGCGGGTCAGGACCGTCAAAGGGGCGGCAACTATGCTACAGTTCTTCACAAAATTGCAATAGTAGTCGGTCATCCCTAAAAAAGACCTAATCTCAGTCACAGACTGAGGACACGGCCAGTCACGAATGCTGGCAACCTTTGCGTCATCGGGCTTCAAACCCTCCGCGGAAATCTCGTGACCCAAGTACAAGATCCCGGTGCGGCCAAACTCGCATTTCTCCCCGTTGATCTTGAACTTGTGCTGCCGAAGGAGACTGAGGACTTTGTCTAAGTGCGCAACATGCTCCTTGACAGTCGTACTAAAAATAAGTATGTCATCGAGGTACACGATGACAAACTTATCGAAGTAGTCATGAAAGATCCGATTCATAGCGTGTTGAAAGGTGCCAGGACCATTGCAAAGGCCGAAAGGCATTACCACAAACTCGTACAAACCGTACCTGGTCAAAAATGCGGTTTTGTGTTGATCCTTAGGCCGGATTGCAATCTGATGGTACCCGGACTTCAGATCAATCTTATTGAAGTACCGGCACCCTTGCACTCTATCTAGCAAGTCGTCGATGCGCGGTAGGGGCTCTCTATTCTTGACAGTGATGGCATTGAGGCCCCTATAGTCAATGCACATCCTCAACGTACCCCCCTTCTTTGGCACAAATAAAACTGGCGATCCGCAAGGGGACACACTCGGCCGGATCCAACCCTTCTCTATGAGTTCCTTGAGCTGTCGGCGAAGCTCGTCAAGCTCGCCTGGAGGCATCCGATAGATCCTACCCTTCGGGATGCTAGACCCAGGGATGATATCTATCGCGTGGACGACCTCCCTCTCCACAACCCCTAACGGCTCTTCAAATAGATCACGGTACTTAGCAACTAGTCCCTCTATCTCCGGCGGCATTTTCACCAGCTCGCCTGCTGCAGACACATAAACTAGATACATACCCTCCTCCGGATTTTGTTTATAATAGTTGTAAAACGCAGCGGGACACATGCATCCGTAGGACTCGATCAGACTACTAGCCTTAAACTTACGTAATCTGGCGGTCCCTCCACCTGGCAAAATGTGCTTGACCATTTCTCGGTCCCAGTCAAACTGGGGCTGTGCAACGGGGAGGTAGTACATACCTAACAAGATATCCATAGGGAAATCATTGCTTACTAGGAACGAAACGCGATGTCTCAGTTCCCCTCCCGTGTACGGGAAACAACACTCAAAATCATGTAGGTAGTCATTGACTACCATGCGCTGTTTGTTGGCACAGGTCGACTCCACAGGTCGACTCAGGCGCTGCACTTGCCCCTGTAAGCGCAGCCTCTCAATGCATGCGCGGCTAATAAAGTTCCTGGTCGAGCAAGTGTCATAATAGGCCCCGGCCTTCCGGCCGCCGATGACTACCTCGCTGACGAACATCTCACCCTTAGGGGCTTTTGCCAATGCCGTCCAAGAAGCTAGCGGGTCTGATTTGGACCACTCCTCCTCTAGCTCCTCTAAGGACTCAAACACATTCATCGAAAAGGGGCTCGATGGGTTTGAATGTGTTTGCGGGACGACGATGGAGTTAGTAGCTTGGGCCATCTCTCAAGATGGTGAGGGTGTGTCTACCACCTCGACCCTAGCAGGAACAGCCACGATTCCTATTGGCCCGACGTGTTTCCCGGAGCGGTGCCAGAATTGCTGGCCACGTTGCTACCAACGGGAGCGGAGGATCCCAACGCTTGCCCCATTGTAGACGGGATTTTCTCGATCACCTTCTTATTGCGGCACTTGAATTGGTTATGGCCATATTGGCCACAACGGATACAGGCCTGCCGCGTGTACCAATCTCTCCACACGTCCTCAATGAGACCCGCTTTCTCCCATGGAGGAGCGTTGGGATCAACTTGACTCCTGGACCGAGAACCTCCACGACGTCTACCGATTGCCTTGCCTTTCTGAGTTACGACAGCAACTACTCCACCCCCTGAAGGTTCTACGCTGCCTGCCTCTGAACCCACTCCCGCCTGGAAGTCGTCGTCCAGCTCGATGGTGGAACCATCGTTGTCGACGAACATGATGCGTCCCTTCGCTTTCCAGTTGGGAGGCAGCGACTTTTTCCTACCATCCGTCGTGGTGTCTGACCATGCCGTGTCTTTGCTTCAAGGTCTAGGGCCTTCTTGCTAAACGAGCGGAAGTTATGCATATTGATGTTGGCCTCACCTGCCAACTAATTCCTGAGAGGCATAGGAAAGCATCTCAGGTAGGAGGTGAGTAAAACCTGGGGGTCATAGCGCACCCCAGGGACACATATCAGACGCTCTATTGCGTCTGTGGCCTCCCTTACTGACTTAAACTGCCTGTTATGTAGAGTCAGGATCGCATCAGTGGCCTTTTGAGCCTCGTGAGGATTGTGCCACTTGTCTTCCACCAACTTAAGGAAGTCATCCAGTTTCTGGTTGACTGCCCAAGTGCAGAAGTCATGACCGTATCCTTGTAACTGCACTAAACCACTCAACCATCTCGCTGCACTCCCCTCTAAATAGGAGGCAGCCACAAACACTTCCTCGTGTGGCAAGGTAAGCTTACACTTCACGTAGACTGGCACTGACCTCAACCATGTGTCGAGGTCTTCGCCCCTCTTGTCCCCTGTGAAGGGCTTAGGAGCAGCGATGACCGTCTTTGGAGCACCTGTCCCATTCAAGGCTGTGGACCTTGGGACCAGGCTGTTGCACTATCTGCTGATGGGGTTGTGTACCCTGCAGCTGTGCAGGCTGTGAGACAACAGGCTGCCCGCTTACGGCAACCTGCAACGAAGGTTGGGAGAACACTGTCTGTACAGGAACCTGCACACTAGGACCTGCTGAGAACCCGCATGTTAAAGGCATTCCCAGGGAAACGGGCTGGACCGATGTTGGAGCTGTATATGGGGATACCCCAGTCACCGGTGGGACAAAAGGAGGAGGATGTACAACGGGCCAGACACTAGGCCCAGAGGGCGATGGTGCCGCCTGCGCTCGCCCAACCAACACGGCCAGACTTTGTTGGATGTCCTGTAAGATCGTCGTTCGGTGATTTTGCATCTCTACCACACCTAGCAAGACCGCCCTTAGGGTCCTCACATCATCATCCAAGTCTGCAGGGTCCATCTCCTCTAACTCGCTAATGTCTGCTTGTCTCCGCTACATCCTGACTCTTCTTCTAATCACTCTCTCTTTCTCTGCCTTAATCTCACCCAAAGCCTGCTGTAGCTGTGCCTCGCGATCAGCAACTCGCTTTATGGCGACCTCTTCGGGAGTCGTCACTAATGGTTGGCTTGCCATTACGCCAGTTGACTGACTCAGGCTCTGTGCAACCGTTGACCTTATAGATTCTGAACTGCCGGACTGGGAACTCTGCTGCGCAGCAGTTGCCATGGCTGCTGAAGCAGCGGCTTCGCTTGCGAAAGCCCTGCTTGCCTCTGCGGCCCTAACCCTCCGCTGCTGCTGTTGTCTCTCCCTCTGTTGACGGAACAAATATTTGTCGCCCTCTGGTCCTACGGATCAGATATTTGTCGCCCTCTGGTCCTAACATCAAGTGGGCTATCGGGCGTCTTGCCGATCACAAGAGCCTATCGTCCGATTGTGGGACCTCCCTTTCGCGCATAAGCTACAGTACTGCACACTGTCTGCAGTAGGACACTCATTCGGTGCCTACCACAACGTCATGCACAGATTGATTTAAAATAACTAAACTTAATTAATCAGTGGCTATGTCAGACACTGTACATTTGGGTTCAACAAGAAGTTTAGATTCCTACAAACGAAACTACTTTGACTTTGACTAGTTCACAAACAGAGAGCACAATGAACAGAAAACAGTTCTACCTATGCTGTCTGTCACATGTTAATGGTTGTACATCTAACTAATCAAAATAAAAATAGAATCATTTGTTGGGTTTGTTTGCAGAATGGAATCTTACCCAAACTTATCACCTGGAGTCTACCCCTCCCTCAGTTCTTCATGAGCGTCTCTAGTCGGCAGCGTCCCTGAGCGATCCGGACAGCGTGCATGTCTAAAGGTGTGCACACGGCCCACCCCTGTGCCCCGAGTCCTGTTGAGCTGGCCAGCCCTGCACTGTCTTTATCCTCGCGTGCAGCGAGCCTTACACCGACCGATTGGCTGATCAGGAGGCGTTTTTATGGACGGCCACCTCCTGGGTTGCCACACTTGTCTCCACCCTCCTCACTACACACCTCCCACTGTCACTTGCCCATGTACCGCAAAGGCAGAAGACAAGCGCCAGATCTGCGCACCGTACCACAACTCCGATACCAAATTGCAAGGAAAATGAGGGAGAGCGAACTTCAGAAATCAAACAACATCATACACATGAGACCAGATAGCCATGACCTCGAACCAATAGCAGAATTGCATCATGAGTTCCACCAAATAAGAACACAGCAAAAGCTCATAATTGACAATGCTGGAATAGTCTCATCATCATCAACGAAGAACCAATGTCAATATCCTATCTGGCGCTCGGCGCCAGACTACAGATGGCAGATCCTATCTAGCCTAATCTACAATGCCGCCGATGACGTCAACAGCTCCCCGAAGTACGAGCAGATCTCGGCCAATGTCGTACGCTTCAAGCACCAGGTATGTCTCTCGTATCACTCACAACCTCGTTCCCCAGCTCACAGATGCCACATGCACCCAAGGACCACCATGCGCCCCATCCAGCATACAGCAGCGCAGCTCGGCTATGGCTGCCTGCTCCTTCCAGCTCGCCCGTGAGCGCGTGAGCGCTGGCCAGCGTTAGCGCAGCAGCGCTTGCGCAGCATGCAGCAAGTCCCCGAATGCCGAATGAGTGTGCAGGCCCTTTCCTAAATGGAAGTGGCCTGCCTGCCTTGCGTGCAGCTTGGCTGCGCTGGGCCCCTGCCCAGAAGCTTCCGGTAGGCCCAGGGAGGTTGAGCCTCAGTCCAAACGAATCAGGCCCAGGGCCCAACTGCCCGCAGCCTGAGTTGGGTCCATGCTGCGTATCTCGCTCAGGGCCTGACTTAGATACATTTGATAAAGGAGGCCAGGGCCTGGGGGCCTTCAACCAACTGGCGCTGCGCAACTGCCTGAATTTTACCCCAGTTGCTAAGTAGTCCAAAATAGGCCTCTTGTTGTCTGTCGAGCCTGCCTGCCTTCACTTAGGGCAGCTGACTTGTTGCAAATAGGGGCCCGGTAGGGCTTATTGAGGCCTTGTGCCTCGCAATTTTGCGATTGTTGTGCTAATTCCATTAACGAGTGAGATTCGTTTTTTTTTTCCAGATTACAAAATCCGAATTTTACTCTTTTACTGCTGGTTGTCTGATAGATGCCTCAGTAATTCTCAAATCGACAGATTTCAAAAAAAGAAAAGAAATGTAATGACCCGCCAAAAACACAGACTGAGAACACTGCTGATTTCTGGGATTTGCCGCTGGAATGAATGCCTTGCTGAGATTCCCGCATTCTGCTGTGGTTTCCATGTCTGTGTGTGTGTGCGTGCCTGCTGGTTTGCATGCCTGTCTGAGTGCTTGTCGGCTGAGTGTGTGTGTGACCCGCAAGGGTACTTGTTGGTTGAAAGGCCCCGCAGGGCCGGTACTTACCTGTGGCCGTGACTTTGAGGGTTGCAGCGGGGAAAACACTCAAGTAGCGGGGGTAGGCCCGCGACACTTAGAGCAGCAGGGAAAAACACTCAAGTAGCAGGTAGGCCGGTACCACTCAAGTAGTGGTAGGAGTGGCGGGTACTGGAGGCCGAGCAGAAGAAGATAAAAAGTTGGCATTTTTAGAGGCCCAGAAGTGGTAGGAATCCGTAGGATAGAGGTAGGCCGGTACCAGTCCAAGTAGCCTGAGTCTAGGGCCTGTCCGGACGATAGCAGATCCTGCAATGATGTTTCCCTCCGAAAGGGAGGAGGTACCAGTTGCTGGGAGACTGCTCGGCCTAGGTAGTCATCGCCCAAGAGGCCAGTAGGCCGCTATATCTTCCGAACGAGAAAGTAGCTCCTCATTTGCGGTATGCAAGGATCGGCGACATGCTGCTGAGCCAAGCACTGGACTGGTACAGCGCTGCCTGGAGGTGTAGGGCAGCTGGGCGCTCAGCCTGGCTATGGCGAGCAGCCCAGCCTGAGGAGGAGGAAGAAGGGGGCGAAGGAGGAGAGTGGCTAGGTACCTACCTGGCTATGGTGGACACCATCTTCATCACCTTGTTGGGCGCTGCATCTGGAAGATCCCGGTTGGGGTAGTGCCGCACCAAGGAAGCTCGAGGCAGATTCAGGCATGGCGGCTTAGTCAGCAGCGCCATAGCTGCTTTGGGTTGTCCTTTGGACGGGAGTGCAGCGTCATAGCTGCTTTGTGTTGCCCTTTGCACAGAGAGGGGCAGAGCTCTCAGCTGTCCGCCATAGCCTAGGCTTGTGAGAGGTGGAAGAAGGGGGGAAGCCATAGCTATGGTGGACCCGTTGTGGTTGTTGTTGTGTCAGCAGTAAGAGGGAACTTCGGATATTGATTCTGGTTCATCCACTCATTGTTATTATTATTATTGGGAAGAAGAATAAGATTGGAGAAGTTAAGGAGGAGGAGGAAGGTGGAGAGAGAAGGGGGATTTGTCATTGGTCTTGCTGGTGTACATTTACTTCTTCTTCTTCTTCTTCTCTCTCTTCTCTGGTCTCTATCTCTTTGCAAGTGCTTTCATTTCTTTCGCACTTGGGTGGCATTTTCTTTCATTGTGAATTTGCACATTGGGAATGACCAGGAGCATAACAATTGGTATCGGAGCGGACTTACTTGCTGGCGAGAGGTGTTAGTCACCCTAAACCCAATTCCGAATTAGGTTAGGGCTAACCTAATCTCCGATTAGGGTTGGAAGTTAGGGTTAAGAGGGGCAGTGAGGTATGTGGATACTGCCCCCACCTGGTTAGAACATGTAGGGTCGACATCAGACCTGACCAGGTTGCTTGTGTGATTGGATGGGGTGGCGAGACACAAAGGAGGCTGATTGGAGTAATCGAGAGGGAGTAGAGAGTGAGAGGTACACGCACCTGGAATCTGCACTTCAAGAAGACATTGAGTGAGTTTTGGGCTTCCCCTCAAGAGGGAGACTTCATCGGAGGCTGCCATATCTGCATCGAAGAGCTGCAATTTGCTACTTTGGTCTTCAGACATCGATGGGGGATCCAGCGTTGTAACAGGGGTGTAGGGAGGCCCTCTTAGTCATGCTAGGACACTTCGTGTAGTGGTAGCTAGGGGTCAGGAGGACTTATGAGAGAGGGGGGCTGAGTCGTTATCCATCTCTGGAGGCCGGGCCTCACAGGTAAGTGCCGTGTGACCTCGTTATGCCTGTGGGAGGTTGCTTGGTGCTTCATGGCCTGTTAAAGTGTGTTGGGTTCTCTTCCTCTTCTCTGCGGTCTTGGTTCTGTGTGTGAGCATGTGGATTGCTTTCTCACCTGATCGATGGATGGATGATGTATCTTGTTCTTAATGACATATCCTTCTACGGTTCATCGTCTTTTCACTTCCGAACGGCTGTAGGGGTAAGTTCTTGCTGAAAGTTGTCTTTTCCTTTTCAGTACGATAAAGGCAGTTTGGGACTGACTTGGTACACCTATCTCGTTGGTCCTGGTCCACGACCTACTTGGAACCTGTGGGACTCAGTGGGACCAGGCCCAACGGGACAGGACCTTTAGGACCCAAATCTGTTGCCGTCAATGCATCTCTTTGCTGTGCTGAATTTTGGGGACATACGGTATTCACCAGTTCGCTGTAGCTGATGCAGATCCCAGGGCTCGATCCCTAGTCCCTACCTCACCTGTGTACAATACTTGTGTCGACGCGTAGAGTTGAACCCGCGACCTATGTATTTTTAATAGTCGATAGGTTGTCATAGGGTCCATAGGTAGCATAGGTTCGATCTGTAGACCTGTCGAGTAGGAGTCTTAGTCAGGTCTAGAAGTCGTAGCTGTAGCCTTCTCGAAGAGTCAAAGTCGTAGCTGCTACAGTCACGAAAGGCCAAGTCTACGGCCTTCCGGAAGGTCCCAGTAGTGGCCTTTCAATGTTGCCCACGTTTGGACTGAGGCAAGTGGGCAAGTGGCGAGGCAAGTGGTCAAGTGGTGGAGTCTGCCCGTGCTGAATCAGCAGTCCCAGTCCTAGGCAGTCCGGGTCCAGTCAAGCAAGTACCGCATGGTGTGTGCACTTCGGGCTTGGGAAAGGGGCCAGACCAACGCACAGCAGAAGTATAAATCAAGAGGCAGCGCCCAGCCATTCATTCATTCCTGCTTGAGCCATGCAGAAGCGCTGCCACAACGACTTGTGCAAGGAGGTCTGCAGTAAGCCGGAAGACGAAGTGGGCAGAGAGACGGAGCTTAGCCATAGCGATAAGGTAGAGGCAGCCATAGCCGCCATAGCTGTAGTTAGTGTTAAGTGTGTGTGTGTGTGAGTGTTCAGAGAGACGCGTGTGGGATATCCAGGGGGATCCACTGTATGCGAACAAAGAGTTGCATGGGCGCTATATCGCCATAGCCATTGGAAGTGAACTCGTATCTGGTTGCCATATCTCTGAGTACTGAGTGGGCGCATGTCGCCAGTTTGCTGCGCTACTGTTTGCATACATGTAAAGTGTGAATGAAAGCAAGTCTGATTGCATTGGTATCGGAGCTGGTACCCGCTGTTCCACGCGCTGCGTTGTGTGTCGCAGGGAGTGATGCGCCATAGCGAAGTGGCCGATGAAGAAGAAGTCCGCAATAGCGGACACCGAGGTTGAAGAAGCCGCCGCGCGCACCTGCAGAGAAGACCACGACGAAGAAGAAGACCGAGAGAGGAAGAGAGAGAGAGAGAGAGAGGGAGAGAGAAAGGTTGAGCGATACAAGATTGGCTTACCACGTTTCTGCATTGAAGACATCGCTACGGCGAGAGAGAGAGAGAGAGAGAGAGAGAGAGAGAGAGAAGAGAGATCAGCGATACAAGTTTGGTTGTCACTTACCGGAGAAGTGTGCCGTGCAGTCCCACGAAGTGAGAAGCGGTCATAGCCGTGGAGCTCGACCACAGAGAACGAAGGAGGTCGAAAGAGAAGGCGGAGGGAGAGACTGAGAAGGGAGAGAGAA